GCCCCCCCCCCCCCCCCCCCCCCCCCACTAGGTGGCGGGGTGGGAGAGAGGGGCAGGAACACCTTCCCCCACTCCCGGCAGCCTCAGGCCCCTCCGTGGGGAGAGAGGGAAATCCAAGTTATCCCCTTGTGGCCGTCGTCCCCTCCTGGCAAATAAGCCCCAAGGGGTGAGGGGAGGGGCAGGTATCACCCTACCATGGGGCACCCCAGGGCTTAATGTCTGGATGCTGGGGAGCGGCAGCCAGAGGCAAGTGTTTGGAGCCAGATGTGAGTCTCTTGCCCGTAATAGAATTGGGGGTGGATGCCCTGCTTGGAGCTTTCAGAGGGAAAAACCCCTCTGAGGATCCAGACCCGGGACCTGCATAGGTTTAAAATCCCTTGTGTGGCTGGGAGATTGATCCTCTCTGTTGCCTTTGGAAGGAAGCACATGGGACATCCTGCTCTGGTGTGAAGCGGAGTCTGTTCCAGCACCATTGCTGTCCGCCGAGCCCCTATGCGAACAGCAGAAGATTGTGTTTTGGGAGCTAGCTTACGTCAAAGTGCAGCGTGGCTCCAGAGCCAGTAGAGCCGGGATCCTATTAAAAGCATAAAGCCTTTATAAATAACCCCTCAGAGGTGTGGGGTATTACATTCCTCCACTTGACAGAACTCGAGTCTTATTTTTTTTGTAATTTGGATGGCTCATCTGGGTTATGGTTTAGCATTTTTGATGCTCGTTGGCACTTGGAGAGTTCTGCACAATCTGAGGTTTTAACTTTTTCATGTGCACTGGCTTAAATTTTCACTGTTGCACAAAATGATGGGGTTAAATAACTTTTCTATCTTTTTAAACGTTAATTCAGAATTATGGGTTTTAATAATTTTTTATCTATTTAAGTTTCCACAGTGGCACGGACTTGGGAGGGAATAAACCTTTTTTTGTGCTGATTTGTTTCCACAGTTGTGTGAAATGATGGGTTTTGAAGATTTTTTTTTAACTTACGTTTTTGTAGTTGCATGAAATTGGGGGGAGGGTTTTTTTTACAAAGTTTTCTATGGCTTTGAATGCTCACAATAGGGCAAGTTTGGAGTGGGTCTTACATGAATATCACGCCATCACCACTGGTTTGATGTGAATTGAGGTCAGGTTTTGTTCTCAGGTGGCATTTTTCCTACTTTACCTTTCTGTAAATGTCAATGATCATTTTTGATCAGAATTTTTTTCCATCTGTTTACGTGTGTGTGTGTGTGTGGTGAAATAGATGCATTCTGACATTTGCCCCATAAAAATCTGTACATGCCTGTCCTGGTGGTGCTAGGTGCTGCTGCAATGGAAAATCAGCCTCCGCGGACACAGTGAAACCGTGGTCCTAGATCTGTCTTTCGGCAGCTGTAGGGCTATGGCACGGTTCGGGAGATGGCGGTTGAATCCCATAAAGATGGTCCAGTGCTTAGTGGAGCCGTATTCAATTCGCTGCTTGGTCACAGGCTCGCCTTGCCTCAGTTTCCCTATCCTGTAAAACGGGGCTAACGGTAAAATGCTTGGAGGTCCCCAGCTGAGAAGTAGTAGTTGAGGCAGGATCTGGAAACCAGAGACAATAGCACAGGGGAGCCAAGGAGGTGAATAGATTGAGGGCTGTGAGGCGGTCCGTTACCACCGGTTCCGGGGGCTGGATGATTACCATAGCTAGACACAGTGATTCACAGAACACTGGAGTCCGGATACCCCTCAGTGCCTTGCCACAAGACCAACCAATCTCCCTCAATATCAAAACCTGCTGGTAACCCTCTCTGGGACGTTGCCTGAGCTCCCTAGGAGCCAGGGCTGTGGGGTTCATGTGGTTCAGGGACACAACAATGATCTTAAAGGTCATCAGTTTGCCACTCAGTTTGCCTCACCCCGAGCAAAATCGGCCATGGAGCAGTCGAGGGTGTTCTCTCCCTTGCATGCCTTCGACTGAGTCTGCTGAGTGCCAGGAAGCTTTGATTTTTGCCCTGGATCCATGGTTAAAATGGTGACTGTTCTCCCTGCTTTGTGCGGGAGGTGGGGTCAATGGGCTGTACGGCTATTCCCCTTAGGTCCGGAGACAGGATTCAAACCTAGTACTCTTGGCAGCTTTCTGGAGTTTGCCCTGATCATCCCTAGCGCTGTGACCTGGAGCTCAGGCCCTTCACGAGCTCTGGTGTGTTGACCCTCTCCACACTCCTGTGGGGAAACTCAGGCACAGCCTGGTTAAGTGACTGAACCAAGGCTGCACAGGCAGTCTGTGGTGGAGCAGGGAATTGAATTGGGGGCGGGGGTTGGGGCCTGAGACGCTGGGCCAGCCACCCCCTCTCAGGCTGGAAACCTGTCCCATGGAACACAGGCCCTTCACGAGCTCTGGTGTGTTGACCCTCTCCACACTCCTGTGGGGAAACTCAGGCACAGCCTGGTTAAGTGACTGAACCAAGGCTGCACAGGCAGTCTGTGGTGGAGCAGGGAATTGAATTGGGGGCGGGGGTTGGGGCCTGAGACGCTGGGCCAGCCACCCCCTCTCAGGCTGGAAACCTGTCCCATGGAACATGGCGTAGAGCTGCCCTCACCGCGAAACCAGCTACCTCCCTGCCTGCCCCCCATGCACATGGCTGGCTCCAGCTCAGCCCTCACAAGCGAGGCTTTGTACGGCTGAGCCCATGACGCTGGCCTTTGTTTTCCCTCCCTGCACAGCTGTGGGCGCTTGGCCAGGTCCCTGGCCAGGCTGCTGTGTTCTGGAGCCTGCCCTGCCTCCCCCTCCCGGCTCAGACTGTCTCCAGTGTGAAACCGAGCCCTGCAGAGGGGGCGTGAGGGGTTCAAGACCACCACAGCTGAGGATGGGGCCCAAAGTGTCACAGACCCAATGGTTACGTCTAGTTCCCCCGTTTTGAGGGAAACTGAGGCACAGGGCTGGAACTGCGGGGGAGGGCAAATGGGAGCTAAGGGATAGGTGGAGAATAAAGAGAAGCTGGTGGCAGAAAATTATGGGGGGGCTGAGGTAATAGGCAGGTGGGGGAGTTGAGGGGTCCTATGGGGAGCTGGGAAGCCATGGGCCAGGTGCGGGGGAGGGGAAGGGAGTGGAGCATTGGGGGACCAGCGGGAGGCACCCAGAGTGGTGTTTCAGGAGCTCTAGGATGGTATATTCAAATAGTCTTGTTCTTGATCTTAAAACTCCCCCTCAAAGCCGTAGTTTCTCTAATGGAAGAGCCTATTACAAACCTGGAGACTTGACCTAACCTTCCGTTTCCCCCCCTCCCCAAGGCGCGTGGCATGGGAGTGCAGCTCCCATTGCTTGAGGTAGGACTGGCAGGTTCTTGGCAGTGCCTAAAATCCGCTTGGGGGGGCCGGGGGGCACAGCTGTGGGGCTGGGATGAAGGCCTCTTTCAGTGACACGTCGACTGGGCGAGGCAGGGAAGTCAGACACACCAGCATGTGAATCCAGACTCCTGGGGTCCATCCTTGACTCTGGGAGGGAAGTGGGGTCCAGTGGTTAGAGCGAGGGGGGAGCGGGGCATCTGCACGGCTGGGTTCTGGTTCCGGCTGACAAAGTTAGTTTAGCACCTAATTCACCGAGGCTCTGCTGCCTTGCAGTGGGCATCCAGTGCTGAACCTGCTTAGATGTCTCATGCTCTGGCCAAGGGCACCTTTCGGTGCCTGTGTTCTTCTGGCGAGGAGGGGGGGACGGGCAGGCAGCTCACCAGGGGCAATAAAATAGTGATGGGGCGGGGGTTGTGCTCTGCCACCGGCTTTACCCAGCCCAGCAGGCACGGGGCTCATGATCAGAAGGGAGCGAGGCTGCAGGGTAGGTGGCATTGGGGAGGAGCTGGCCTTAGCCTCGTGCCCTGGCGTTTCGGGCAGCTTGGCCCTGCTCACGAGGCAGGGCAGGGTGCCTGGGCCAACCCTCCTTGGACAGAAGGCCTCCTGGTTCCAGGGAGCTGACTGCCTGGCCCCATCATAAGGCCAAGTGTAGCAGAGTGGGCCTCTAAAACTACAATTCCCAGCATGCCCTGCAGCAAACAGTGGTGGGAGCTGAGGGGGGGAGGTCTCTGCTGGCAGCACCTGGAGATGGAGGGAGTGTTGCATGCTGGGAGCTGGAGTCCCCCACGGGTTGCCTCTTGCAAAGTAGTGTCTGTCGTTTCAACTGGATCCACCGCGCACAAGGCCTGAGCCTCCTGTTGGGGAGCTCAGAAGCTGCGAATTGGGGAGGGGGGCTTATGCACCCCCTGCTAACCTCCCTGCCCCCCCCTCCCTGGCAGAGCGCGACAAGGAGAACCGTCACCGGAAGCGCAGCCATAGCCGCTCGCGGAGCCGCGACCGGAAGCGCCGCAGCCGCAGCCGGGAGAGACGCAACAGAGACCAGCGCAGTGTCTCGCGGGACCGCAGGCGACGCAGGTAGGGATGGGTGGGCCCTGGGAGCCCCTCCCCCCCCGCCCCCCTCCCAGTCCTCACCGGTGCGTGGCCGGTTCGAGGAGCCAGAGGGGGAGGAATGGCTAGTCTTGGGAAGAGAGCTGGGGTGTTCCCACCAGTGGTTTCCATCCACGTGAGGAATGAATTTATGCGCCAAACTCGAGCTGCGGTGCGGACGTGCGCCCCAGTATAAACCCCCTAGAGATGCGGGATCTTTTGAAAAAGCTCCCAGCAAGATAGTGAATCCCGCCATGGTAGGTTGGGCCCTTTCCAACTCCCTGCTCGGTTAACTTTAAGCATAAGAGAGAGAGAAAATTATAAGAGGCCCAGACCAAAATGGCAGTGGGGGCCCTTTGAAAGGATGCCCTGACAGAGCATGTACGTGCATTGCAGGAAATACCCAGAAGTAACACCAACAGCAACACAAGGAGGTGTTGGGAGGTGAGTGTGTCGGAGACAGTGTGTGTTGGGGGAGAGGCAGAGACTCTGCGGGTGTGGGGCGCGCGCGTTCTGCGCCGGGGCCGTCTGGGCGCGCGCGTTCTG